AGTTTGGTCTGTGATGAAATGGCTGTGTAGCGACACTGCTGTGCTTCATTCTAGGCTGAATTGAAATATGGATCGGGCTTGGAGTAGACAAAGGATGGCACTACTTCGCATAATGCATAATGAATTTAGGGAATTTACTATGGCAGGAAGCAGTAGTGACTCTTGGGTTAGAAGGCTTTAAAAAGAGATTAGTCAAGTTCATGGGGAAGAATTTGGTTGGTCACATCAAGAGCTACTGGTTGTGAAAGACTTACTAGTTGTTAATGAGAAAGTTTAGTTTAGAGAGAAAAAAGCAGAGGAGATGATAGCCACATTTAAATATTTAAAAGGATGTCACATTGAGGAGGGTTTTTGTACTGCTCTGGAGACTAGGACATAGTGCAATGGATTCAAATAGCAGGAAAAGAGATCCCACCTAAACATTAGGAAGATCATCTGCAATCAACACCACCAGCACTACTACTATCATCACTGTTGTTTCTGCTGTTGTTATCCTTCCATCCAAAAAGCCAATGAGTGACAGAACAACGAGAAAAAGCATTCAATATGCACTTGAAACATACCAGGAATGAAGACCAATGTAGCTTAGATGACAGATCATTGCACATAATGGTTATTGGACAGAGAAGACCTTTCTTTCCATTGCTTAAGTCAGCATAGGAGTGGATTTCTGTAGTCCAAAATATGGACAACAGAGTGTCTTTAGAATACAAAATGACATAATAGGTTAGTGCAAATGTTGAGTATGGATCCAAAAGGGCACCAAATCCACCAAATGAGTTATACGTGGCAGCATAGTGTTGGTTAGATGTAGAATATTATGTATGGATCAAAACTATCAAAATGTATCAAATCACTGAAGAACAGGACTGGGAAAATTGCATTTTATAACAAAAGAATGCATATCCTGTAAAATATGTTCAGATGTATTTCATATCTTTTGGACATGAGCTCCAAAAATGGAGAAGCTCTTTGGGATAACCTTATCCCAAGTTAGTCAGTTGTACTAGGAGTACAAATCTTTGCTTTTCCTTCACAGACATTTTCTCCCTGTTGCATAGGATGGTGTTTAATCTAATGTTTATGTATTTCTGTGAAAATTTCATTTATATGAGAAATATTCCTTTTTGTGCAAAACCCAGACCATTTTACACAAAATACAGCCTTCTACACAAAGTAATGTTTTTGTGTAGAAATCCGAGGTTTTTTGTTGTTGTTGCACAAATATACACTGTTTTCAGAAATAGACTTGTATTTGTGCTGTGACCTGCCTCAAACCATGGGGAGAGGCAGGTAAGAAATAATAATAATAATAATAATAATAATAATAATAATAATAATAATAATAATTTGTGTGGCAAACAATGCTTTTGTTTGGAGGATGAGAATTCTGTGAGTATTGGGTTGTTGTAGGTTTTTTCGGGCTATATGGCCATGGTCTAGAGGCATTCTCTCCTGACGTTTCACCTGCATCTATGGCAAGCATCCTCAGAGGTAATGAGGTCTGTTGGAACTAGGAAAAAGGGGTTTATATATCTGTGGAATGACCAGGGTGAGACAAAGGACTCTTGTCTGCTGGAGCTAGGTGTGAATGTTTCAACTGACCACCTTGATTAGCATATAATGGCCTGACAATGCCTAGAGCAAACTTTTGTTGAGAGGTGATTAGATGTCCTTGTTTGTTTCCTCTCTGTTGTTGTGCTGTTGTAATTTTAAAGTTTTTTAATACTGGTAGCCAGACTCTGTGAGTATTCTTTATACACCTATTGTATATTACATTAAGCATCATAAAATTACATTGGTAGGACCTTGGCAGCAAATGTAGACCCCGAGTTGGGGGAAAGGTGAGATATTAATTAATTAACTAAACAAACTACATTTCATTGCATAATGTCCACCGTTGCATAATAGTCGCACCTCCATTTTCAGGGTGACAAAATTGCTATTTTAAAATTCCCCGCATAATAATCACACCCTTAGTTTACTTGCCTGGGCATGTGAATGAAAGGTGTGACTGCCATTTTGATGCTACAGTGTTTGACTCAATTGCCAGCCAAGTCAAGTCCCGTAGTGCTACGGAAAGGAGGCAGGAACACAGGGGAGTGAATTCCCTCACTTGCATGACTGTATCCCCTCTTTGGTGCTACAAGGTTTGACTTGGCTACCAGCTGAGTCAAGCCCCATTGTCATGGGAAAAGGCAAATGGTACATGAGGAAGTGAAGCTTTGCTTCCCCTATGTACCCATCCACTTTCCACCAATGGAACTTCACTTGGCTGCCCTCTGAGTGAAGCCCCGTAGCTGGATTTTTTTCATCGCATAATAGTCACATCCCTTTTTTGATTAAAAAAAAAAGGGGGGGGGGTGACAATTATGCGACGACATATGATACTTTGCATAGGTGTTTGTATAATAATAACAACAACAACAACAACAACAACAACAACAACAACAACAAGTGATAAGCATTCCAGTTAATATCTGAGCTGCTACATTATGTACCAGAACCACTTTTGAAACCAACTTAAAAAACAGGTCAACACTCACCACTACAGATGTACACCCAAGACTACAGATGTACAGATTGCAGTGGCCAACCTATATCTGCCCAGAAATAAGTGTAGTTGGGGTATAAATCTACACTGAAAGGAGGCAGGTCAGAACATTAAAGTCACTTATGCCTTCAAGACTACTTCCAAACTGTTAATTCATCAAAGGAGAGCACAGTCCAAACCAGAATGAGTGACTCTACTGAATCCCAGATCCAGAAATCACGCACCTCTAGTGTTACCACCCTACAGCACTTGAAGGGTTGGGTAAATCATAATCAAATGCAATAGCATTCTTCTGTAGCTTATGAAGTCTGGTTTTTCAGGCTGAATGACTTGAAAGGTGTTTGCATAGCTTTCGACTTACATCCTCAGCTAGGGAGATCAAATGAAGCTTACCTGTATGACCATAACATATAGAGTGACAGGATAGCTTTTCGTGTATGTTCAATTCCTTGGTGAGGAGAAAGATTAATTTTAGATGTATACATTTGCTGAAATACTGGATGACATCTGTGATGCTAGTGATGCCACTTAAAAGTGTAGGGGGATCGTTATAGATAAGAGTACAGAGTTTGGATTTTTATTTCTGCAGATGAACACAAACCAATCTTAATTTTTAAAAAAGAAATCAAGAGAAACAACAGAATATGTTCTCAGCTGAATAACAAAATAAAAATTGCCATATTTCTCCAGGGAGATCTCCTTTTTTTAACTGCAGTGCACTACTTTTATGGAAATGTCAATGAAGGTTTGGTTGCAGCAAGTGGATGAATCAGAAGCATTTAAATATTATGTCCAAATATGACAAGCAATTTGAGAAGATTACATTTTTATATTATCTGCTCAAATCCTTCTCATGGAAGAAGGATTTGAATAATGCCTCATGAAAGCCAGAGCATTTTTCTCCAGAATAAGTTATATAGTTTCTGCAGCAGGGATGGGGGACTTGAAACACTCCAGATGTTTAAGATGACAACTCTTGTCATTGGCTATGCTGAATATGGCCAACAGGGATGGAAGTCCCAAATATCTGGTATGCCAAAGATCATCAACCTCTGATCTACAGGCTTAACAAGATATTACATTAAATATATGTAATGTAGCTAGATGTTACATTAAATATATTGATGTTGCACAGAGCAGTAGCCCATGTAATTCTCCTGGACTGGACTTACATGGAGGACTATATACATATTCCTAGTTGTCTTCTATATCACAAGCTAGAGTGTGTAGTGGGAGAGCATTTGAGAGTCATTTTTATGGTACTTGTGATGCATTCATAAGTGAACATGGATCGTGAACGTGGTGTGATGCATTAATAAGTGAACGTGGATCAATTACTGAAGATATGGGACTGGCACCTGAAAGCATGAACATACCGGGCACTCTGTAGAAACCAGGATCATGAGGCAGAAACATGGAAAAATTTCTAGAGTGTCAAAGGGTTTCATGGCCGGAATCACTGGGTTGTTGTAGGTTTTTTTGGGCTATGTGGCCATGGTCTAGAGGCATTCTCTCCTGACGTTTCACCTGCATCTATGGCAAGCATCCTCAGAGGTAGTGAGGTGATGCTTGCCATAGATGCAGGCGAAATGTCAGGAGAGAATGCCTCTAGACCATGGCCATATAGCCCAAAAAAACCTACAAGAACCCAATTTCTAGAATAATAGGGAAATGTTCACATTTCTCTAAGCAATTTTCAAATTATGAAGTTCTATGTAGCTCCAGCACCATTCTGGAAAAGCCCATGTTTTTATGTATTTTGTCTCAATGTCTTGAGGTTGGTGTAAAATTACAATGAAGTCTTTACATATGACTTTAAAATGTAGTATCTTTTAATTCACATTTAGGTACAGTATTTCTAAGCACGTATCCTTTGCTAGAGAAAAAGGTTACTGTCAATATCAGTTTTGCTCACATTTTTATTTTTCGAGCATAAATTTGGTTCATTTTATTTCTCTACTATACTGTGACTTCTAAAAAGTCAACACAAAAATCTCTATGCTTTTCCCTGTGTGTTTCTTATTCTTAGTATATACATATTATTATAATGCATTTTGTCTGCTATTTCCATTTTCTACAAGCAATGTCTCCTCACAATTCAATTTTACATAATATATATGAGCATGCATATGTATGTGAGTACATTCCCCTAATGCATGCATTTTGTATACAGTTTTAACTGGAGAACTATATTACAAAATTTGGAAAATGCCAACGTCAGTGCTTTAAGTTGGGTATTCATGTGTGAGATGAAAACTTGGAAAATTTGCATTCAAATACAGATTTCTTTTCCATAATTGCCTTTTGCATAGTTGTAATATTAAAAGGAGATACAATGATCTTTTAGAACAGACTTACTGGAAATAGGCTAGAATGAAAAATAGGTGTTTAACTCCAAATACTGAAATGACCATAATGTTGAAAATGTCGACCTGTAAACATTTACCTTTGGAATGCCTGCTGTTGTTTCTGACAATCGAGGGTAGGTATATGAACTATACGAATGACCTTGCTGACTGGACTTAAAAACACTTGCTCCATAGGGCATGATTGGCTCTTGGAGACCAGAGCCCGACTTGGACCTCTGTCTCATGGCAGGTTGAGGGCTGGTCTGGTTTACATAGGATGACTTGGGTCTTTTGTCAAAATCGTCTTTAGCCCAATCGCTGTCACCGTAATCTAATCTCTCTCTGGAACACTGACTGTGCATTGAAGTTCGAGAAGGTGTGTAATGAAAAGATTCTTTGTAATCCAGAGAAGAGCCACTTGCTCTCTGGTATTCCAGCTTCAAACCACCATATTCACTCAGTTTACTTTTGGTTTCCATGTGAGCGTGATAATCTGGCAAGAATCTAGCGATATCCGACTTCAAGGGTTTAGATTCCAAAAAGTACATTTCGCTGGGTTTCATTTTCACTGCATGGCCATTCTGTTTTGCAGCACAGCTGCCCTTGGAGTATCTGTCCAGTTCTTCCCCATGAACAGTTTTGTCTCTGTATTTATCAGTGAGGAAATCTGCAGCAGTGTCTGATTCACTTGAATACTGAGAGTATGTGATGTAGCCATTTTCCTGCTGGTGGATTTCTATGTGGTTGGAACGTCCCAGGTGTGGGGTAGGAGGGCTCTCCTTCCGAAGGGAATTGGATCGCGTCACGGAGATATTGTCAAATTCTTCAAGCAAGCCATTGATTGAAGCGTCCTTGCAAGGTTTATTTCCTCTAACGATGGTCTGGGAACAGAAGGTAGATTTTGATTAGAGACTGTCTTTGATTTAATATCACAGTGATAAAACTCTAGAGCAGAACAATTTCAACAATATGGCAAGGAACAGACTGACCATTCACCATATCCTTCTATCAAATATACTATTTTAGAACAAAATGCCATTTTCTCCCTTAAGATATATGTATTTATTTATTTCTTTGCTACATTTGTATACTGCCCCTCTCAGCCCGCAGGTGACTCGAGGCGGTTCACAAGGCAACGATTCAATGCCAACAACATCATAAAAACATTAAAACATTAAAAAGCATTAACATATCAATTAAGACCATAACAGTGGTAAAAACAATGTATTGTTGCACAGCCTTCTGAATTCAACACCTTTATAAACCTTTATTTATACCCCGCTACCATCTCCCGAAGGACTCGGTGCAACTTACATGAGGCCGAGCCCAAATACAGTAGTAAAACAATAACAACAGCAATAACTCAAAAAGACAAAGCAATAACATTAACAACACACAATGATGCAATTAAAAACAATGGCAGGGCCAAATGTAATGAAAAGTTAAAAAGTGCTGGGCATGACCAAGTGGGGTGTTTGGAGGGGGGTGGGCATATAGGTATCCTAGATCTCTGATAAAGTGTGTTGGGACATAATGCTAGGAACAACCATGTCTTCAAGCTCCTCCTAAAGACTGCTAGCGACGGGGCCTGATGTCTTTAGGAAGAGAGTTCCAGAGTCGAGGGGCCACCACCGAGAAAGCCCTATCCCTCGTCCCCACCAATCGCGCCTGCGACGCAGGTGGGACTGTGAGCAGGGCCTCTCCAGATGAACGAAGAGATCATGTAGGTTCGTACTCAGAGATGCGGTCACGTAGGTAGGAGGGTCCCAAACCGTTTAGGGCTTTACAATAAATTGCCATTTGATGCTTCTGAACCATTGTCAGGCAGAGCTAACAACTAGTTTACTGGCATGTGAGCGAATGAAAAGACGTCACTCAACAGATTCATTTCCACTTTGTTACATGGAAAGAAGTTACATAATACAAGATGTGCTGCTTATTACTGTGCACTCCATTCTTCTGCAAAAGTGTTATTGAAAGTAACACTACTAAGGGCAAGGTGGAAGAGGGAATGGGGCTGGAAGAAAGGAAATACACTTTGATTTTCTGCTGTAAATGGATCTCATAGTATCTCAAGCTGAACTAAAAGAGTTTTCTGCCCATTGAAGGAGACTGGAAGTTTGGAGAAAACAAGAGTGAGTCTCAGTCTCTCCTATCTTGTGTACTACCAATCACTCCATCAAAGTGCCAAAGTCTTACCATAATAGAAAGTCTTTTTTCCAGGAGGAGGAGGACATATAACTTTGTTCTGTTAGTACCTATATTTGTCACTTACGAAAATGGTTAAGACATAAAACTGGCAGTAGGATTGTTGACAGTGAACTCAAATACAACTAACTGTAGATGAAAATTGTGAAAATATTGTTTGACTATCTTTCACAGCAACACTAGCTGTAAAATACAACGATAACAGCAGATTACACTTGACTGAGGACATGGAGAATGAGGGAGAGTGAATTCTTATTAACGTTTACCAAAATCATCTCTGTCCCATGAAAGCAAATGTGCTTTACCAGTAATGCACTAGTAGAAATCCAATAAACTCAAACAAATGCTCTATGGGCAAATTAATGTAACAATCACATACTGAATATTTTTAAAACAGAGCAGGGGTAACTTGATGTTCTGAATTCCACAGCATCATCCTATCACTGTCCTATCATTAGGGATTTTGAGGGGGAAGGAATAGAGATATATATTTGTCAACTGCTGTACAACCTGCAAAACAATTTTGTGGATTTCATGGACTTGCATCTAATCAAGTGGATTGCAGCTCAGAAAACTGACAACAGACAAAACCTTTTAGGGTGTTACAAAAGGCTCTTTGACAGGTCCAACTTACCTGTCTGAACATATCTCCCCTTAAGATCTGCTGAGGAGGCCCTGTTCTCGCTCCCACTCCTTTGAAAGTGCAATTTGTGAGAATGAGAGACAGGACATTCTCAATGGTGGCCCCTCAGCCATGGAACTCCCTCCCTAATGTCATCAGACTGGATCCATCCCTTTAGTCTTCAGGAAAAAGCTAAAGACCTGGCTTTGTACAGAGGTGTTTGGGGGTTAGTGTACTTTGGAATTCGACCTCAATTTGGCAACTTGAATAATGACTATGGAAAAATCAAGAATTATGGAAAATCAAGACTTGGCACTACGTATGTTTTTAATCAGAATTATTGTATTTATATGTTTTGACTGTTTATATGTTTTAATTGTTTTATAATTTGATGTTATATTTATTGTTGTGTGCATGATGTGGTATTGAATTTTTGACATAATCTGTAAACCACTCTGAGACCCATTTGGAGGGAGAAGAGTGGAGTAAACAAACGAATAAACCAATTTTATTGCATTTATCCTGCCACCCTCCAAGAAGCCTTTAATGAAAAAACAAAAGAAGAAAAAAGCAAGAAAATAATCAAGCAAGCTTCAAATAGATTTTGGAATATTTTAAAATGATGGTTCAGAAGCAAATACTACAAAAACTGTAGATTGCAAATCACAATTTCTATGTTCCAAGAAATTCTACATTGAATGTAACATGAGAACATTCACACGATTAATTAGAGAATGTATATAAATAGAAGATAGTTTATCAATACTTTGTCAACACAGTGAACTTAGAGCTTCCAAAATAACAATTACTATATGCAAAGAGATTCTTCATAGGTACATGACATTAGAAATAGTAACTTAAATATTGTTGAATTCAATTTTTATTTTGGAAGCTCTAAGTTCACTGTGTTGACAAAGTATTGATAAACTATCTTCTATTTATATACAGTCTCTAATTAATTGTGTGAATGTTCTCATGTTACATTCAATGTAGAATTTCTTAGAACATAGAAATTGTGATTTGCAATCTACAGTTTTTGTAATAGTTGTTATAGATATCTGTGCATGTTACACTCAGGAGCAAATACGTCAAGTTTCTGGTTCTATGATCAGACTGTCATCCAAAAGCCCACAAAGTAAATGTGCTCCATAAAGCAGGACATACATCTGTATTACAGGTTCCATCTTATTCACCCAAAATTCTTGGGACCAAGATGTTTTAGATTTCTGATTGTATTGTGTTTTGGAATATTTAAAAGTATATCATGAAATCTCTTGGAAATTGGACCCAAGATATTCATATACAGACAGTCCCCAACTTACAAACATCTGACTTACAAATAACTTAAGAATGGGGGTGAAACAACAGAAAGTGAGAGAAATCTACCCCTAGAAAGGGAAATCCATTCCTAAAATAGTCATTATCATGGGGAAAAGGTGTCTCCACTGAAAGTTAATCAACAATCCTTGTTTCCACAAGCCAAATATTTCAAAATCCAGTTATCACAGGGACAGAAAGGGAGGTAAAATCCTCTGAACTGGGGCACTGACAGCAAAAAACATCAACATAGAGGTGTTAACCCTTTCCTATGCTATCCAAAGCTACCTGTTCCAGCTTACAAACAAATTCAACTTAAGAATAAACCTACAAAACCTATACTTGGGGACTATCTGTATATCATATACACACAGCTTGAAATCAATTTTGCATGCATGCTTTTTGCTGACCTTTCATAAACCTGTGCTTTCATGGCAGTTCATTTGATGATTACACAGCTTGTATGCAAATAGCAAACAACTCTGCCCTTTACTTAGACCATTATACTGATTTCAGCTGCCTTTATAAGCTCATTGAACAATTTGTAGTTACTGATACTAGGACAACAGGTCAAGCAGAAGCATTTGGAGTTGCTTCCTTTGGACTTTAGAGACATTCAGTGACAAGCATGCCTTTCATGATGCACTTGCCTTTCTCTGACAGGCTCTTTCTGTGCCATTCATATTTAATTATCACATCATAAAACAACATGATTGGCACTGAAAGTGCTTTATTATTTAATGTGAGAGGGAAGTGACCACGAGGCAGCCACTTACTCCATGCAGCTCAGAGACAAATGCTGTTTTAATATTCTCTCCGTGTACATACTTCAAAGCTGAGAGGATGCTTCTCTCTTCCCAACAGTTTCTCTCTATAGTCTGACTTACGTTGCCTGAATTTGTGGATTCCTGATGCTTGCTTGAAAAGAGAGGGGTCTTTGTAAGAGGAATGTGATTGCTTTGCAGACAAAACCCACCCCACCCCCACTCCAAATAATTATCACTCCATTTGGACAATTTTGAGAGGAAATTGCTTAAAGAAAATAGTAGGCAACATTAGTTCCAGTTCTCACAGGTATAACCTAAGGTAAGAAAATACAATTTTAATAGATTCTCCCAGCCAAAGAATTGGTCAACTTGGGAAGTTTCTTTTGGTACTGTTCCATGATCAATGGACATATGGGCTAACTTGGTTTCTGCTTTCCTTCTAGAGTTTTGAACAATTATATTTTTGCACTACAACACCAAGAATCTTTCAGCCACATAACCTTTTGGGGAAATTATGTGAACTCTAGGTGAAACGATTCACCATCCATGCACTGGCTGCAAAATACAGAAAACTGCAAAACACAGGATGTTGTGATTCATGACCATATTCTTTCTTTTATTCTATCTCTCCCTCACACACACCATTCACAGTAATTTACTATGTTATCCAAACACTTTGCTTAAAGACAAGGTATTTCTGCCTTTTGTATGTATTTCATAGGTCTATTTAATTTATTCAAACAATGGTCCTTGAATGCAATGTGCAATGGGCATACCTGCAAAACTGTCATAAATACACTTTAAAAATGGGGAGGGGATAGAGAACACCTCCCCCTCTCACCACAAAGGATCTGTGTGTAATCTGAAAATTGAAACAGACACTCTCAGAAAATTTCAGTTGCTGCTTGTTATCAGGTGTCAGGATCCAACGAGAGTTAACCTGCATACATTAATGCAAAATGGAAAG